AGCTGCCTCGTATGGGCTAAAAGACTTTCTGCAATTTCCGCTATTCTAACACATACAGGAAATTGCAGGCGTATACAGTAGTATGGATGCTGACAGGAAGGATGGGAATGGGTTAGTTTGCTCTAAGGCAAGATGTGTACATTTCGTTTTGGGGTAATAAACATTATTTTTGAGGAGGCAGGAAGAGTGGGTATGCATGATGGAGGAGGCAGGAAGAGTGGGTATGAGTAGTGGGATGTACAGCTTAGCAAGTAATTTTTTTTCGGCCAATTACTCGCTAAGCCGTCAGGGTTTCCAAGGAAAAAAATTGTCAAGAGTTTCATTCCTCGCTAAATCGCCAGGGTTTTCAGGGAAATATTTCAGAGACCATTTTCTGAGAATATGTTCATAGAAGTTTTATTAAGGAAAACAGACCCCTTAGCAGTAACTTTTGGCTGTGTGTCCATTAACTTCTGTGTCACCCGTTTAAGACCAAAAATTTTCAGAGTTTTAATCCTCGCTGCCGCTTTAAACAGTTCTTATCAATAAAAATAAACTCGACTGACTTAAACAGATATTTTAAAAACTTCATTCAATGTTAATTCTTGAACCCAGCTCTATTTATTTTCAGAGTTTTACTTACACCTGCGGTCTTAAAAAGAGTTCTTATAAAGAAAATAAACTCTACCGACTTAAGATTCCAATTCGAAAAGTAATTCTCAGTATTTAGAAGTTAGTTCTTGGACCCGCCTCTATACATTTATAAGTGAAGTTTCGCTACTAGTAACCAAATTTTTGCTTAATTTAAAACAGTCATATTTAAGATGTATTAAGAAAAGAACATAAAGTTACCGAGCTCCAGCTCTTGTCCCCGCCATATTGTCCTCTTGTATCTTTGTTAATAACCGATCTATTTCCCTGAAATTTAAAACTGCTGTATTTCTGATGTAGTAAATAAGATAAAAGCAGTTACCGAGCTCGGGCTCCTGTCCCCCGCCTTACTTCCTTTGCACAACTTTGCTACTATCAGTCCAATTACCCTGAAATTTAAACCCACTGTATTTCCGACGCAGTAAATAAGCTCAAGACAGTTATCAATTTTTAGCAAAATGCCTTACTTCATTTGTACAACTTCGTTAGTATCAGTCCAAATCCTCTCAAATTTAAAACCGCTGTATTTCAGACTTGTTAAATTAGATCAAAGCTGTAATCGAGCTCCAGCTCTTGTCCCCCGCCTTACTTTACTCATGTAACTTCGTTAGTACCTATCCAATTCTGAAATTTAAAACTACTGTATTTTGGATGTAGTAAAATAAATAAAAGCCAATACCAAGATTCAGCTCCTGTCCTCCACTCTAGTCAATTCGTACAACTCTATTATTAACAGATCAATTCCCCTCAAATTTAAAACAGCTGTATTTTGGACGAAGTAAATGAGATCAAGATAGTTATCAAGCGCCAATTCTTGTCCTCCGCCTTAGTTGCGCCAATTCTTGTCCTCCACCTTAGTTGCGCCAATTCTTGTCCTCCACCTTAGTTGCGCCAATTCTTGTCCTCCACCTTAGTTGCGCCAATTCTTGTCATCCACCTTAGTTGCGCCAATTCTTGTCCTCCACCTTAGTTGCGCCAATTCTTGTCCTCCACCTTAGTTGCGCCAATTCTTGTCCTCCGCCTTAGTTGCGCCAATTCTTGTCCTCCACCTTAGTTGCGCCAATTCTTGTCATCCGCCTTAGTTGCGCCAATTCTTGTCCTGAGCCAGAACATCAGACTCACTCAAGCCTATCACAGTACACATAACCTCTCCTTCAATACTCGTGTTTACTTATCTGCGTAAACAATCCCTCACCCATTAATTATCACACGGTCATAACACACCTTATCTCATCCCCCCACACCCCTCTGCTCACTTATCTCCCCCATACCCCCAGCTCCCCCTCCCCTCATAGTCATTCCATAATTATACTCGTGTCATAGTCATTCCATATTTATATGTTCTCTCCATGTACTGCAAAATGTTCACAGCATGTTTTCTGCAAGTTCAGTTCATATTCCTTCGCAATATTCATTGTGTTCATCTCATTTTCTTTCATGTTCTCTACAAATTCCCCTCGTGTTCTCTGTGTTCTTTGTCATGTTCTCATAATGTTTTTAGAATGTTCTTCACAAGTTCATTGTTCATCCTTAGTATACTCAGTAAATTATTTTTTTTGTGTTTCCATATACACGGGGGAGCCGGTCGGCCGAGCGGACAGCACGCGGGACTTGTGATCCTGTGGTCCTGGGTTCGATCCCAGGCGCCGGCGAGAAACAATGGGCAGAGTTTCTTTCACCCTATGCCCCTGTTACCTAGCAGTAAAATAGGTACCTGGGTGTTAGTCAGCTGTCACGGGCTGCTTCCTGGGTGGAGGCCTGGTCGAGGACCGGGCCGCGGGGACACTAAAAAAAAAGCCCCGAAATCATCTCAAGATAACCTCAAGATATACCCCGTATGTTCACTGAGTTCGTCCCATTCTCTTAAATTATCTGCTGATGTAGACCTGACCAAATGTAAACTGTGTCAAGAAAATTATTTTCACACCCTCCGTCACTATGTGATGGAGTGCGAAAAGATATGTGAATTTAAAGACAATTCTATAACCAATGTACCAACAATGTGTAAATATTTAATTCAAAATGATCTGCTACCAGAAATTTTAGCCAAATATTCCCAGTTTGCTAACTGTAGGTAGTAACTGAGTGATTGTAACCTATCCACCGCTGCTCACTGGATGGGGGGCGGTGTGCAGGACAAACATATAAATTGTGACACTAGCTCTCCACATATGTCAGTTGCTTAGTTTAGAACCTGTACTTGTGGTCGATCTCGAACCCATTGTTGATGTGACGACTTATATTGAATTTTGTAACTAGCTCATCAAGATTGTAACTTGCTTAGCTAAATGAATTGTGGGGTTCAGTCCCTGAGCCCATTATGTGCCTCTGTAACACTTCCCACTACCACCCACAAGATGGGTATGGGGTGCATAATAAATGAACTAAACTAAAAAAACTCTCTTAAATGTTCTTTAAAATCAAATGTACAATTGTTTCTATCATTAAGTAACTAGTTCGTTGTCAAATATTATCATCCGCATTACTGTTCCCCTTAACAAATTAAATTTGTTAAGGGGAATTTAAATTCCCCTTAACAATTTCTTTAAGTTACATTTCTTTTTAAATTTCATTAAGTTTCAAATATTTTATTACAATATATTTAGTCACAGAGTTTATTTTCAAAAACTATATTAAAGTATTTCTGCTTAACAACCTATAATTTCTTACCAGCAGTGTTCTTAAACAAATCTGCACTTTATACAGTAACACATTTACCAAGACATTCTTTTCTTGTCGTTTCTTAACTAAAATTATTCATCAGTCAACTGAAAATAATCACTTTCATCATTTCTTAACTAAAATAACACTTCTCTCAACCGAAAATAGTCAAGCATAACTTCTTTCAACACTTTCTTAACTACCATTATGCTTCATTCAACTTTAAAAAATAGTCAAGTACATCATCTTTACATCATTTTCTTAACTAAAGTTACGGTCTTAAACTGGGCTTTGAACAAATTCGGTCTTAAAACAGGTGACAGAAGTAAATGGAGACAAAACCAAAAGTTACTGCTAAGGGGTCTATTTTCCTTAATAAAACTTCTATAAACATATTCTCAGAAAATGATCTCTGAAATATTTCCATGAAAACCCTGGCGATTTGGCGAGGAATGAAACTGATAATTTTGTACTGGAAACCCTGACGGCTTAGCGAGTAATTGGCCGAAAAAAACAATAATTTGCTATGCTGTCTATTTTCCTGGGCTAAAAACCAAAATTATTCGCAATAATTTGCTATGCTGTCTATTTTCCTGGGCTAAAAACCAAAATTACTCGCTAAGCTGTACATCCCACTACTACTGGTATGCATGAAGGAGGATGCAGGAAGAGTGGGTATAGGTGATGGAGGAGGCGGGACGAGTGGGTATGCATGAAGGAGGATGCTGGAAGAGTGGGTATAGGTGATGGAGGAGGCGGGACGAGTAGGTATGCATGAAGGAGGATGCTGGAAGAGTGGGTATAGGTGATGGAGGAGGCGGGACGAGTGGGTATGCATGAAGGAGGATGCTGGAAGAGTGGGTATGGATGATGGAGGAGGCGGGACGAGTGGGTATGCATGAAGGAGGATGCTGGAAGAGTGGGTATGGATGATGGAGGAGGCAGGAAGTGTGTGTATGGATGATGGAGGAAAAATCGGGTACTTTCACAGTTATGATGGAATACTCACGGCTTCCAGAGTCGGTTATAAAGTGCTGAGGACTGGACCACTGGGAGAGCCCTGAGCGGAAGGAGACTCTGAGCCACACCGTGTACTGTGACGCCGCTGCCAGCTGCCTCACCTCCACCACACCCGACCACACCTCACTCTCCCATGCTGACTCGCCTGAAACATCACACAGACCCGCACATAGACTCGGCTTTTCTAACAGCATCTGCATTAGATGCACAGCCACTACAATGATTAGAAAAGCCTTAAAGAATGGCTCACTAGTGAACATTCTGCACCTACATCCACCACCAAGATAATGTTATTAAAACACGACTAAAACAGAAGCGAAAAAGAAACGGAAAAAGGAGGAAACCCCACCTCCATTTAAAACTTTCCAAATATCAGAGTAACAAGGTTATCGCGAAGAACCGAACTCAATTACGGGGTCACCATAGCTCGTGCTACATGGACATTTCGTTCTGAGTAGCTAAATCTTAAACAACAACAACATATGGAGAAAGTGGTGACCCTGGCGCCACCAGAGCCATTACAGAATAGGCTTTTATAGTCAATAGATATTAGATATTTAGATTTGCGAGTGTTGAGGCTGCATGGAAATATTAATTTTTTGTTTTTCAGTGCATATATCATCCTCTGTTAAAAGTATGTATGTTGGTATTTTGAAAACTTAAATATAGTTACGGGCTGTTTCATGCCTGTTTGTTGTTAGTTTTAGACTTGTTTGTCTGTGTCCTTATGTTATCCTTTCATTACAGCCAGACTCACCTACTCTTAGTTCATTGTTTTATGGAAATAAATTTAGTTTTTTATTGTTGTTTTACTTGCCCTGTTTTCCTCCACGATGCCTGTTCTTGATATCTAGGGAGGTTATCTTGAGATGATTTCGGGGCTTTAGTGTCCCCGCGGCCCAGTCCTCGACCAGGCCTCCACCCCCAGGAGGCAGCCCGTGACAGCTGAGTAACACCCAGGTACCTATTTTACTGCTAGGTAACAGGGGCATAGGGTGAAAGAACCTCTGCCCATTGTTTCTCGCTGGCGCCCGGGATCAAACCCGGGACCACAGGATCACAAGTCCAGTGTGCTGTCCGCTCAGCCGACCGGCTCCGACTGGCTCTCCCACGTTAACATATAGGGCTGAGGAACTAATTAATAGTTGCAGCTAATAATATTTTCATCAGAGTAGTTTAAAGTTGACACTAAAGTTTTGCAAATTAAAAAAATTTGCAAAATAATATTAACAGCAAGGTGTTACATAATGGTGTAGTTCGCGACACTCTTGGACCCCGGCCATCACTGCACAGTGCTCTACATTAAGCACTCATAGTCCGGAATCTAGGGTTCGTTCCCTGGGCTGGACAGAAATGGTTGTGCGTGTTACTTTCACCTTTGTTCGCCTAGCAGTAGTAAGCAGGTACCCGGGAGTTAGGGAACTGTTGTGGGGTTGATCCTGGGGGAAGATCAGTATTTCGATCTAGGGAAAGACCTCAATACAGAGTTCTAATCACTAGAAAAAGGGGAATTATTATGTGGTGGACTCACCGTGACAGTCTTGGGAGAGGTTGTGGTGACCGAGACAATAGGTGATCTCGAGGGCCTCCACCACCCCGGCCCAGTCATCACACTCCAGCGTCCACTGGACTCTGGCTGTCGTCTCCGACCTGTCAACATTCCCACAGACCCTTCACTTCCCTCTCTCTCTATTGCTAATGAACAGGTATACCGCATACACGAGAACCATCACTATGTCATAACGTTATCAAACCAAATTGTTGACACTGTAAACCAGTTATAAATATTACTAATAATTAGAAGTTTTTAAATTTACACATCTACGGGGGATGTGAGGGTGGGCGGGCGGTGGGCGGTGGTGTGGGCCCTGGGGGTGGAACACCTGTCCCAGGACATCCCGCTGGACACGGCAGAGTAAGTGTCCCAGGACATCCCGCTGGACACGGCAGAGTAAGTGTCCCAGGACACACCGCTGGACACGTTCGTCTCACGTTCTGTAGACACGGCAAACCTCACGCCCGTGTCCTCCACCTCCGTCAGGTTAAACTCCTCCAGAGTGATGTTGATGGCCGTCACCCCGCCCACTGTCAGCCAGTACAGGTCGGCCTGCAGGGGGTAGACACAGTAGGTCAGTACAGGTCAGCCTGCCAGGGGGACAACAGGTCAGCCTGCCAGGGGGACAACAGGTCAGCCTGCCAGGGGGACACAACAGGTCAGCCTGCAGGGGGACAAAGCAGGTCAGTACAGGACGACTTGTCCGGTAGTGCCAGGTTAGTGTAAGTGACACACCTAGCATTTAGTGTGGAGTCTAGACAGGTCAGGAAGACAACACTTCCTCTGACATAGTATGTTAGGAAATTCACTACAACTGTTTACCAACCTTGTTCTGCATGTACTTGGAGGTCACCACGACTTTCTGGCCTCCCAATCTATATCCAAAATTTATATTTCCCAAGATTATAAATGTTGTTCCTACTCAGTGGGAAGTTATTGCCCATTGTCTAGTTGGGTACACAACTCCAACCCCCCCCCCCACCCCCTTACCATGTTGTTACACTCCCTGGTTAGATTTTGGCTCGTGCCTGACCCTGGAATAACTAATATCTAGAGCTATCACATTCTTAAGTTATCTAGAGTATGATCCCAACATCCTTGTGAGGTAATTTTAAACTGGCACCAGTGATATCTTGAGGGAGGAACATAGAAACAAGATATAAAATCAACACATATAATATTATCTATATATTATCTCTGGCATCAATTATTTCAGTATGGGCTTTTTGATCACAAGCAATAATATAAACTCTGATGGACTTATAAATGTATGATAATTAATATTAGAATGCCAGATCTGTTAAACACACTTAAGCTAAGTACACAATCATACAACTTAACTATAATAATAATAATAATAATAATAATTTTTAATAATTTTTTTTAATTTTTTTAATTTTTAATAACTGACACGAGATGTTATCACCCAGACCTTCAATTTGCTACTCGCGTGAAGGTGACAAGTTCTCTACACGTTTTTTATTTATATATATACAAGAGATCTTACATTCTTGTACAGCCACTAGTACGCGTAGCGTTTCGGGCAAGTCCTTCATCCTATGGTCCCTGGAATACGATCCCCCACGAAGAATTGTTTTTACAACCAAGTACACATTTTACCGTGGAGTTAAACAGAGGCTACAGTTAAGGATTTGCACCCAGTAAATCCTCCCCGGCCAGGATACGAACCCAGGACAAAGCGCTCGCGGAACGCCAGGCGAGTGTCTTAACACTACACCACGGAGACTCCGACAATAATCTGTATACGTGGTTCTACGTATACAGTTTATATACGTACATTATATTATATTATATTAATATATATATATATATATATATATATATATATATATATATATATATATATATATATATATATATGTCGTACCTAGTAGCCAGAACGCACTTCTCGGCCTACTATGCAAGGCTAGATTTGCCTAATAAGCCAAGTTTTCCTGAATTAATATATTTTGTCTAATTTTTTTCTTATGAAATGATAAAGCTACCCATTTCATTATGTATGAGGTCAATTTTTTTTTATTGGAGTTAAAATTGACGTAGATATATGACCGAACCTAACCAACCCTACCTAACCTAACCTAACCTATCTTTATAGGTTAGGTTAGGTAGCCGAAAAAGTTAGGTTAGGTAGGTTAGGTAGTCGAAAAACAATTAATTCATGAAAACTTGGCTTATTAGGCAAATCGGGCCTTGCATAGTAGGCTGAGATGTGCCTTCTGGCTACTAGGTACGACATATATATATATATATATATATATATATATATATATATATATATATATATATATATATATATATTGTACCTAGTAGCCAGAACGTCGTTCTCGGCATACTATGCAAGGCCTGATTTGCCTAATAGGCCGTGTGATTTTCTTTATTTTCCATAAATTGTTTCCAATTAGTTTATTTGAATTGTTATTATTATATTATATTAGGAACATAAATTATTGACTAAGTTGTGTTAGTTTAGGTTAGGTTAGGTAAGGTTGGTTAGGTTCGGTCATATATCTACATTAATTTTAACTAAAATTTACAAAAAAATTAGCTCATACATAATGAAATGAATAGCTTTATCATTTGCTTATGAAATGATAAAGCTATTCATTTCATTATGTATGAGCTAATTTTTTTGTAAATTTTAGTTAAAATTAATGTAGATATATGACCGAACCTAACCAACCTTACCTAACCTAACCTAAACTAACACAACTTAGTCAATAATTTATGTTCCTAATATAATATAATAATAACAATTCAAATAAACTAATTGGAAACAATTTATGGAAAATAAGAAAATCACACGGCCTATTAGGCAAATCAGGCCTTGCATAGTATGCCGAGAACGACGTTCTGGCTACTAGGTACAATATATATATATATATATATATATATATATATATATATATATATATATATATATATATATATATATATATATATATATATGCAAACAAGCCTGAATGGTCCCCAGGACTATATACAACTGAAAACTCACACCCCAGAAGTGACTCGAACCCATACTCCCAGGAGCAACGCAACTGGTATGTACAGGGACGCCTTAATCCGCTTGACCATCACGACCGGACATAAGGAAGTGATAGCCGAGGCTATTTGAACCACTTCCATACATACCAGTTGCGTTGCTCCTGGGAGTATGGGTTCGAGTCACTTCTGGGGTGTGAGTTTTCAGTTGTATATAGTCCTGGGGACCATTCAGGCTTGTTTGCATTTGTGTTCCTCACGTGTGCCCCAAAGAATGAGGTGATTTGATAAAATGCTATGCCCAAGATTACCATCCGAGTGCCGGCGGGGAAGTGGTTCAAATAGCCTCGGCTATCACTTCCTTATGTCCGGTCGTGATGGTCAAGCGGATTAAGGCGTCCCTGTACATACCAGTTGCGTTGCTCCTGGGAGTATGGGTTCGAGTCACTTCTGGGGTGTGAGTTTTCAGTTATATATATATATATATGCGGAAAATCCACAGAGAAATATGAAATATTTCATATTTCTCTGTGGATTTTCCGCATAAAATGATCAGTGTTTTGTGATCGTCAATTGCATATATATATATATATGTCGTATCTAATAGCCAGAACGCACTTCTCGGCCTACTATACAAGGCCCGATTTGCCTAATAAGGCAAGTTTTCCTGAATTAATATATTTTCTCTAATTTTTTGCTTATGAAATGATAAAGCTACCCATTTCATTATGTATAAGGTCAATTTTTTTATTGGAGTTAAAATTAACTTAGATATATGACCGAACCTAACCAACCCGACCTAACCTAACCTATCTTTATAGGTTAGCTTAGGTTAGGTACCCAAAAAAGTTAGGTTAGGTTAGGTAGGTTAGGTAGTCGAAAAACAATTAATTCATGAAAACTTGGCCTATTAGGCAAACCGGGCCTTGCATAGTAGGCTGAAAAGTGCGTTCTGGCTACTAGGCTACTATATACGATATATATATATATATATATATATATATATATATATATATATATATATATATATATAGACCACCACGTATATGTACGTGGTTCAGGTGCGTGTCTGGGGTCACCCAGGAGGTTGGTTCAATCCCCATCCTGCTCCAATGACTCTCATGTAGCCTATATTTACATTTCTGTCTGAAAGCTCTACTCCCATTTAACAATGTTAAAATTTCCACAATTACACTTTGTACTTCTCTGAAGATTTGATCGATAGACTGAGAAATGCTATGTCAATAATCATATCAGATAGTTTTCTCATTCACCATTATAACATCCATTCCTACCTCACAGGCTTCTTTTCTCAGATCATTCAATTTGTTGGAGACACTATCGGCATTTGTATACCATATCCTTAGATTCTTCTTGGCTACTCTCTCTATTGAGTTCCCTGCTAGATTGATGGAGAGAGGCATATGAAGTTGAACAAAAGAAATGGGTAGAAGATGAACGTGAGGAAGGGAACTACGAAGAGAAAGCGCCAAGCCATTACGATTATATATAGCCCTTGGAAGGGGTCAGGATAAGGATTTGGGATGGGACGGGGGAAAGGAATGGTGCCCAACCACTTGGACGGTCGGGGATTGAACATCGACCTGCATGAAGACCATCGCTCTACCGTCCAGCCCAAATGGTTGAGCGCATGAACGTGAGGAGACAAAGGAAGATATATGGACTAGAATGAGAATAGGATTGTGAAGTGTAGGTAAAAAGAGTGGGTGAGTGTGTTCGCGAGAGAGTGCGCATGTGCCCAATTGTGTGAGACCTCTCCTTTCAAGATAATAAACATTTAGTTCACAAAAATTCCGCGAACAAATTTCCGAGGCACAAGTTCAAGATTATGTGACAGTTCAGTATGAGAAGTTGTCCTCACCTGGCATGGTTGTGAGGTCATGAGGCCGTCCACACACACGTACAGGGTATAGCTGTCGCCCGCCCTCCTCCTGCTGCTGTGCCACCTGCATCACCACTTGTATGGTCACCATACACCTGCATCACCCTTAAAATTGCATCCCTATCTACCTTATTCCCTTACACCTGTGTCAGCAGTAATGTATAAACATCTGTACTCAAACAAGGGAGTTCTCACAAGGGACTAATACTTTGGAAAATACATTACCTGAGTTCATACTGTTGTTGTTGTCTGTGGAGGACGACGACGGGCAGGACGGGGTCGTCCGGCAGGTCGTTGTCCGCCCCCACCACCACCCACGACCCTTCCTGGCTCCTGCCCTCGCTGTTCTGGGACACCACCTCCAGCCTGTAACACATCCTTAGTTACAGCTACCTCCTGCAGCCTGTACCACTACCACCTCCAGCCTGTAACACATTGTTTGTTACAGCTACCTCCTGCAGCCTGTACCACTACCACCTCCAGCCTGTAACACTGTGTGTTACAGCTACCTCCTGCAGCCTGTACCACTACCACCTCCAGCCTGTAACACATCCTTAGTTACAGCTACCTCCTGCAGCCTGTACCACTACCACCTCCAGCCTGTAACACATCCTTAGTTACAGCTACCTCCTGCAGCCTGTACCACTACCACCTCCAGCCTGTAATACCATTACATTGTTAGAAGTCTGATCTATAGGGAAGGCTGGTGAGGACTGACCTGTAAGGAAGGCTGGTGGACAGGTTGGTGAAGGTAGCGTAGGGCTCCGTCACGTTCACAGTTGCCACTGACGCCCTGCAACAACCACAACTGTTAGTTACACTGTAACGTATCGGAAAATGAAGAAAGAAAACAGAAGAAAGGGATGAGGGAGGTAGAGAGATGGAAGAGAGGTATGAGGAAGAGTGCTCAGGAGTGACTTGTCAGGGGAGAAAGCGCCGAGCCATTACGACTATATAGCACTGGGAAGGGGTCAGGATAAGGGAAAGGGAAAGTTTTAGAACGAGAAAGAAAATGAGATCAAGGAGGAAAGTAGAAGAGTAGAAAGTAAGAAAGATAGAATAGTAGGAAGATAGAAGGTTGCTGCCATCACCCATTCAGGTAAATCATATATAAGACAAGGAACGGAACTTGTCTGTACAACAATATTGTCTGATGTTATCACATAACTTCTGTATGAATATAAATCATATAACCAAGAATCTTTGTCATAATCTTAAGCCAGTAAACTTATGAATGCTCTCCACTCTAGCTCGCAATATATCATAGAAAATCCAAGATCTAGGGATCACAATTAAAGACAATTTAAAAAGTAAGTTAATCAATTATGTATTTCCTATTAGATCTTCACTCATATGGATATCATAATTCAACCATATCATTTGATGTTAAATATCAACATTAATACACAATTTGAGTCACCCACAAAAAAAAACTAAGAGCTGAAAACTATTCTCTATGGCTGTCTGCCCTTGAGAATCACACAACACCTAAGTTGAAATCACAATATACGTCACCTTACAAGTTCACTCACGAAAGTGTCTGAGACTAAGTTTGATAGAGAGAGAAGGGGGAGGGGCTAAAGATGACAGTCCCCACCCGGGCTGGGAAGACCAGTCTGCTTGCAGGAACGTCTATCTTGCGGAGTAGAGGTCTATAGTTATCACTGTTCTCAATATCGAATGTACAGTTCCACGGGTATTTATGGGGGAACTGAAAGCCAAGCTCCATCTACCAGAAGATCGCCTCTGGCTAATCTACCTACCAAACCTAGACAGTGGCTTGTTCGATGGAAACACAGCCATCCAGCTGCAATTATCAGCTTAGCAGAAAGCAAGGTAACTTCACACGACCTGACCCCTTCTCAACCTGTGAACATTAAATCTCCTAAAGTGTGACTTCTTAATTGTTAAGGCCCGACAAACTGGCGACACCAATATCCTGCGTGACCGAACTCTCGTTTTATGTAAAATATTAAATAAAACACATTTATGGTGTAGCAACACCACACCTGTCCTGGTACAGCCACACCTGTCCTGGTACAGCCACACCTGTCCTGGTACAGCCACACCTGTCCTGGCACAGCCACACCTGTCCTAGCACAGCCACACCTGTCCTAGCACAGCCACACCTGTCCTAGCACAGCCACACCTGTGCTGGTACAGCCACACCTGTCCTGGTACAGCCACACCTGTCCTGGTACAGCCACACCTGTCCTGGTACAGCCACACCTGTCCTGGTACAGCCACACCTGTCCTGGCACAGCCACACCTGTCCTGGCACAGCCACACCTGTCCTGGCACAGCCACACCTGTCCTGGCACAGCCACACCTGTCCTGGCACAGCCACACCTGTCCTGGCACAGCCACACCTGTCCTGGTACAGCCACACCTGTCCTGGCACAGCCACACCTGTCCTGGCACAGCCACACCTGTCCTGGCACAGCCACACCTGTCCTGGCACAGCCACACCTGTCCTGGCACAGCCACACCTGTCCTAGCACAGCCACACCTGTCCTGGCACAGCCACACCTGTCCTGGTACAGCCACACCTGCCCTGGCACAGCCACACCTGTCCTGGCACAGCCACACCTGTCCTGGCACAGCCACACCTGCCCTGGCACAACCACACCTGCCCTGGCACAACCACACCTGTCCTGGTACAGCCACACCTGTCCTGGCACAGCCACACCTGTCCTAGCACAGCCACACCTGTCCTGGCACAGCCACACCTGTCCTGGCACAGCCACACCTGCCCTGGCACAGCCACACCTGCCCTGGCACAGCCACACCTGTCCTAGCACAGCCACACCTGTCCTAGCACAGCCACACCTGCCCTGGCACAGCCACACCTGTCCTAGCACAGCCACACCTGTCCTGGCACAGCCACACCTGTCCTGGCACAGCCACACCTGCCCTGGCACAGCCACACCTGCCCTGGCACAGCCACACCTGTCCCAGTTCATCTGCGTCACCTACCTCACAGTCCCAACAAAACACATGATCCTCGGGAGTTCACGATGCACATTTGCATCGTGAACTACCGAGGATCTGCAGGTCCGGTTTACGTCCTATAATCCACCCAACAAATTTTGCCAGTCTGGGCTTTGGCTTAACCAAGAGGTGCCGGGAGTTGGTGGACTCCTGGTGTGCCGTCAGTCGTGGTGGGCGGCTGGCTTCTGCTCTCCCGGGGGGCACTGGATGACTTTCGCGTTTTAGTTGGATTTGCTACCCAGTGTTCTGTGTGTTGGGTGGGGCCGGTGCTCGTCACCTTGAGGTACTCGGGGCTCCCCAATCATCTGCTTGTCACTCGGTTTTGCGATTAACCCTAATGGTACGCCGGGGCGCATCCGATCCCACGATCGTCGTCGACCCTAAACATCAACAACACTACTTAGCCTCATGGCACATGCTTGGAGGACATACAGATCCCACAAGCTACAGAAACGTCCAGGGAACTCTGGCCAAACTAACAAATGTCCCCTTAAGCAGACGCCGGACACCATCAACCCGCCAGAAAACGTTCAAAATCTATCAACAATCCTGTGACCCAAGGCGATATGTACACCAGGCGTCGTACAAACTGGACCGTTGCATAGGGATGCTCAACGGCAGTATCAAATCCAAAATCGCGAAAACAGAACGTAATCCGGCGGCTTCGATGTGAGAGCGGAGGAGGTGTCCAGACGTCCGCTCGTTGTCAAAGTTGAACCGGTAGTCGGAGGCTAAGTGCGTCGGGGGACGTGTCTGTCTCCCATGCCCTAATGAACCCTGAATCAATATCAATAAATAGTCTTGTGTATGACCCTCTGTCCTGTGTGACAGTGAATACTAGCATTATCCTCACTTTAATAAGACTTAATTGAAAGTCTCAGATTAGGCAAAATTGTAGTTAATTTTGGTAATAAAAGTGTTAATAATAATAAATACAGAAGCTGTAATTTCCTTTTATTTAATAGTGCCCTATTTGCAATTAGCACGAGCGTAATTCAGTTAAAAACTAACTCAATATGCTATAAAAAATAAGTAGACTACGCATTACTATAGTTTTTGAGTTATACGTAGTACAGCTTAATGGTGAAAGTCACTTTTTTGTGAGCCATAATTAACTTGCTCCAACACCAGCAAGTACAGATATGAATTCTTCCCAAATTAATTTGAATACTAAACCCGTGCTCTAGAATTACCATCAGTACTTACATAAACAAAATTCTAAATAATTACTAATAAGTGCAGGTGGATACTATCGATAAATGTTACGTCGTTATTAATGACGAGAAAACATTGTCAGGGTACCCACAGACGTGACAAAAGACTTTTTAGGCTGCGCTCTAAAAACATTAATTTCAAGATTGTAAACTGCCCTCAAACTCTTGACGTCGACCGTAATCATTTTCAATGAGGGGGTAGAAATAGCCTCAGCTACTCTAGCCCTTTGAGATGTATTTTTTTCTTGTCTCAATAAACTTACTTGAACTTGTAATCATTTGGCAAACACGTAGATAGTGATAGATTGGGGATGGCCATGGGAAAGGTGAGTATATTGAAGGAAGAGAACGGACGCACACATGATAGGCTTCGCATTCACATAAAAAAAAAAAAAGTTCAATGACAGACATTTGATGATCAATATTTTGTTCAATTGTTGGTATTTTTTTAAGGTAACAAAATTTGCTATGGTTAAATGTCCTAAAACATCGATTAATGTCCTAGGATAGAATTTACAAGACACTTACGAGTCCACTCACGAGATCAGTACCTCTTAGCCCTATCATGTTGGTTTAGTATTTATTAAACAGCTTACGAGCACCGGAGCACTTACGAGGCTGCCTATAACAATAACAACCTTGGGTTATTATTGTTTCCAAGATCGTAAATTGTTTAATGAATTCGAAACCGCTATGGCTGAGGAACGACGTACAGGTTTCGTAAGTGAACATGTAAATGTTTGATGAAACCTGGCCACGACATGCAGTTACCCTCCGGGGTAGATGGTGGCGGTGACGAGGTAGGAGAAACCTGGACCATTATGGAGGAGTGTTGGAAGAGGTCGCCAGGAGAGGGTCAGGTCACGGTACTCCGGAGTGTTTCTGGCGATCCTGAAGGTGCCAGGACCTACTGCCGGGGCCTCCTCGGGCTCTGAAACGTGTGCAACACAGGTCAATGTTATTGTGTTGCAGACATGAATACGGCAGTCACGTCATATGTTGATATATATGCTAATGAGTACCGTACGGTGCAGTACGCTACAGTACTCCGCAGTACACCACAGTAGGCTACTCCAACATCAACCGCAGTATACTAGCCACTAAAGTACATGGTAGCCTAGCCCACAGCTGTCAGCAATACTCCCAACCACACTACTGTACAGCACACCACAGAAAATAGTAGTACACAGGGTAGTAATAGTACACAGGACAGCAACAGAGTACACTGTACCTGCAGGAGGGGGTGACAACAACAACAGAGTAGTACAACAACAGAGCCACAGGACTGCAGGAGGGTGACACAGCAACAGAGTACACAGTGACAACAACAGCAACAGAGTACACAGGACAACAGAGTCACCTGCAGGAGGGGTGACAACAGCAACAGAGTACACAGGACCACAGAGTCACCTGCAGGAGGGGTGACAACAGCAACAGAGTACACAGGACCACAGAACCACCTGCAGGAGGGGTGACAACAGCAACAGAGTACACAGGACCACAGAGTCACAGGAGGGGTGACAACAGCAACAGAGTACACAGGACACAGAGTCACCTGCAGGAGGGGTGACAACAGCAACAGAGTACACAGGACCACAGAGTCACCTGCAGGAGGGGTGACAACAGCAACAGAGTACACAGGACCACAGAGTCACCTGCAGGAGGGGTGACAACAGCAACAGAGTACACAGGACCACAGAGTCACCTGCAGGAGGGGGTGACAACAGCAACAGAGTACACAGGACCACAGTCACCTGCAGGAGGGGTGACAACAGCCACAGCTGACCAATCAGACCACCAGCCGTCGTCGTCCAAGGTGAAGTTAGCAGCCCCAGACCGAAGCCGGACGCGCACCTCGTACTCCTGCCACCAGTACTCCACCTCCACAGACGTCCAGCACTTGGCACTCTTACACTGCCCTGTGGCACCCTGTGGGACACACAATACAGTCACTTGTGGCATCGTGTGGGACCCACTATTCATAAACTAAACATATAAATAATACGACCCTGGTGGTGCTTGTGGTCGAGTGCCCCCTAGTGTGGAACACTACCATCAAGTGTTCCCCATTTAGAGCCATGCCATCAGTTAACCTCCGGACTTTATAGTCATAAGGTACACTAGAATGAACGATCCGAAGATGGTCTACCACTCACATGACATCCGAAGATGAATGAGTCCTTGTTCGGATTAACAGTGACGTCGATCCAAACTACTCAATGGAGGAGGCAGAACAGAAGGCTGCACCAGTTACGTCACAATATTCACCATCTGTTCAGCCCACTTATTTCTTGATGTATTAACATGTCCAGGTATTCAACGAATTAATTTTATGGTCACTTTATGTGTCTAGTAACTGTTGAACTCTATGTATGTTTGACCAGCCAGAGCTGCAACGGTCCTCTGCTGTGGATCCAGCCCGTCCTCCAAACAAAGATCCAAAAGTGATTCCATCCACCCGCCAAACCCCCTGTTTATGAATGAAAAGCGATTTACACACGACTCACAACTGCTGACGTTCGAACATATCCGGAACAAGTGCTTCACTGACGAATTTTGTACGAATCACAACGCTATAAATGCTTCACCCACGTACTACAAATGCAAATAATCGCCAACCGAACCTAAACACCTAACCTATGCCTATATATGTACAATATGCTATTATAATATTAATTTATATTTGAGAAAATTCTTGTTTTGAATGAACAGCATGTTAAAATTTATGAATGCGTCTGTGGGGGCGACCGCTGGATGGAATGGACTTGAGTCGAGGACGGGTTGATGGATCAGGTGAAAACTTACCTTAAAGTGTGTTTGTACACCCACTATGTGAAATTACAAATGTGATCCTTGAGTGAGGGAGCCCGTAGCGTAGTCCCCGAGTGATCCCTCAAATGGGAGGGGGTCATTATTCACTCAATTAGTGAATGTAATTGCTAAGCAATGCCGTATCCCTCAGTGGTCAACCTCTGGAGGATAATTAAGGCCACCACAACAGCTTACTGACCCACCAGCAAGCATACTTTAGTCGTGAACGTAGTCCAGGACCTGACTCACCACGCTCCAGCTGGAGGCCTGCCTCAGTCGGTACTCAAGCAGGTAGATGAGGTCAGCTGGGAACTGCGTGAGGGTCTCAGGGGTGGCCCACCTCACCACCACCTCCCTCGTCGCCCCGGGCGCCTCCACATTCACATGCTCCGCCGGATCTGGTAGCACTGAGGATTTTTAAAAACGTGTCAGCATATTGGTAATAATTCATAACAAATACATTAATATATTTAGTGAACATCGCATGGTCTGGTTGGTAGTACAACTGTTTTGAATCCGTGAGGTCCACGTTCGAATCTCCGATAAAATTCAAGTGAATAAAATTATATAAATATCAACCTGTCCTCAGGTGGATCTGCTCGAGGGAATGGATTGGAAACAACTTCATAATTAGTGCTACTATCTACTCTCTATCCATGGTTGGGTTAGATTAAGGTTTGGTTAGGTTAGCTTTCATTGTGTTTAGCTATGTTAATATGATGTATTATTGATGAAAATGTGTAACATAGAATTCGAAAACTGTTTAAGTGTACCTGAAAATTCCGTTTACAGAAAACCAAATTCTTAAAAAATAAGTTTTCAACATACTTTTTTATATTTTAAACCAACGATTTATAATACAATAAAGTTATGACTTGAGAATAATATCTACTTAGGACAAAGGTTCACTTGCCAGTTTACATGTAGACTATTACTGGAACTGTAATATGCTTTCAGACCATCACAAATTTCTAGACAACTATCCAGGTGGTTTGAGGGGGGGGGGAGGTGAGGGGTTCTCGTGGTAATGGATTTGGTCATATATATACATCAAAATAATATTATATTGTCAATTGAGCTTAATTACATGCTTAAAGCAGACCTCAGAGTTGAAACAGTGACGACACATAAACAAAAATACTAAAATACATTTTAGTATTAAAATAGTTAATTATCAGTTAATAGGAAAAAAAATAAACGTTAAAAAGTCTTAAACATAATTATGCGTATGAAGAGATCGGCCTCTTTAAAAAACTAAAAATTTAGCTGTTGAATTATAAATAACTTATTTCGAGTGCCCAATAGGCTATAGCAACACAAAAACAGGATAAACTTGCAGACAGCCTATTGGCCTATGCTCCAGCAACACCCACTACAGTATACTTGTACACACTCGCAGACCTACCACCCACGCCCTAAGGTCCTCACCGATGGCTAGGTAGTCAGCATGGTGGTAGAAGGAACGGTAGCCAGCGACCAGAGCGTTCGTAACCCTGAACACCATCGACAAGTTGACGAAGGTGGGAGAGTACCCGTTGTCCGTGGTCCATGCGCACCTGGTGTCAAAACACGTCGTGTTTGCGCAGCTGATCGCTTTGTCACACGCGCATTCTCTGGCGAAGCGAAGATTTACAAATAAATATTTGTTCAGGTAAAGTACATACATACAAGGTAAGATACAAAAGTTGATGGATTTATAGATAGAGCTAGTACATACAATGCCTAAAGCCACTATTACGCAAAGCGTTTCGGGCAGGAAAAACACTAAAGACTAAAAGATTCTTCGCGGCAGGGGATCGTATTCCAGGGACCGTAGGATTAAGGACTTGCCCGAAACGCTACGCGTACTAGTGGCTGTACAAGAATGTAACAACTCTTGTATATATCTCAAAAAAAAAAAAAAAAAAAAAAAAAAAAAAAAAAAAAACAATACTAATTGAGATTAAAGTATAAATAGTGTTGAGAAAAAATAAAAAAAATGGAAAAAGGGGGGGGGAACATGGCAGAAAAAAAGCAAAAATACAATTTGGTCAACAAAACAGCATTGTTTAAAGTAGAAGACATGGGTTGACATTTTGGGGGTGAGGTAGGTTACATTGACTTAATTAGGTGGTACTTAGTTTTTATCTTAAACTGGTTGGGAGAGGTACAGTCTTTAACATAACTGGGAAGGTCATTCCACATTCGAGGTCCCTTGATTTGTAAAGCATTTCTAGTTTGACTAAGTCGTACTCTTGGAATATCAAATATGTATTTGTTTCTGGTGTGGTGGTCATGGGATCTGTTACAACCTTCTAGGAAGCTTTTAAGGTCAGGATTGACATTACAGTTCAGCGTTTTATATATATAAAATACACATGAGAGGATGTGCAAGGACTTAATATCTAACTTATTCAGAGATTTGAATAAGGGTACCGAGTGATGTCTGGGGCCAGAGTTAGATATTGTCCTAATAGCAGCTTTGTGTTGAGTAATTAGAGGATGTAAATGATTTTGGGTACTAGAACCCCAAGCACAAATACCATAGTTGAGATAAAGATAGATGAGAGAATAATAATGTCACCAGGGCAGGGCGAGGTACATAATATCTGATCTTAGAAAGAATGCCAACAGTTTTTGAAACTTTTTTATATATTTAGAATGTGTCCCTGGAAATTCAGCTTGCGGTCAATGAGAACGCCAAGGAATTTGCCATCTACTTTGTTACAAATTTGGGTATTGTTAATCCTGAGATTTATTTGATTTGAGGATTTATTGCCAAACAAAATATAGAAAGTTTTGTCAATATTGAGGGTGAGTTTGTTGGCAGTTAGCCAGTGATGGACTTTATTTAGCTCAGTATTCACTGTGATATTTAAAAAAAAAAAATTGCCCCGAGTGACAAGTTTATTGGGCAGCGCCACTCATCCTGTGAGTGGACACACCGCCATAGTGACAGTATTGGGCAGCGCCACTCATCCTGTGAGTGGACACACCGCCATAGTGACAGTATTGGGCAGCGCCACTCATCCTGTGAGTGGACACACCGCCATAGTGACAGTATTGGGCAGCGCCACTCATCCTGTGAGTGGACACACCGCCATAGTGACAGTATTGGGCAGCGCCACTCATCCTGTGAGTGGACACACCGCCATAGTGACAGTATTGGGCAGCGCCACTCATCCTGTGAGTGGACACACCGCCATAGTGACAGTATTGGGCAGCGCCACTCATCCTGTGAGTGGACACACCCGCCATAGTGACAGTATTGGGCAGCGCCACTCATCCTGTGAGTGGACACACTGCCATAGTGACAGTATTGGGCACCGCCACTCATTCTGTGAGTGGACACACCGCCATAGTGACAGTATTGGGCAGCGCCACTCATCCTGTGAGTGGACACACCGCCATAGTGACAGTATTGGGCAGCGCCACTCATCCTGTGAGTGGACACACCGCCATAGTGACAGTATTGGGCAGCGCCACTCATCCTGTGAGTGGACACACTGCCATAGTGACAGTATTGGGCAGCGCCACTCATCCTGTGAGTGGACACACCGCCATAGTGACAGTATTGGGCAGCGCCACTCATCCTGTGAGTGGACACACCGCCATAGTGACAGTATTGGGCAGCGCCACTCATCCTGTGAGTGGACACACCGCCATAGTGACAGTATTGGACAGCGCCACTCATCCTGTGAGTGGACACACCGCCATAGTGACAGTATTGGGCAGCGTCACTCATCCTGTGAGTGGACACACCGCCATAGTGACAGTATTGGGCAGCGCCACTCATCCTGTGAGTGGACACACCGCCATAGCAGCATGTACAACACTCCCCAATAGGAAGAAAACCCGCTGGGTTGTTCACTCTGTCACTTGTACCCAGACACAGCTGGGACTTGCTTAACGGTCTCAAGTGAACAGCTCCTTGATTAACATTTGTCAGCCCTTAAAATCTTACGTTATCTTGCGGGTGCAAAATGGGAGAATCTTTTAAAAACAGTATCTATATTTGACAAATGGTATTTTCCTAACTCAAACAATGTGGGGTTTATTACTGATATTGGTCAGTTGGTGGTGTGGGGGGTGGGGGTCAATTGATGTGGTATTGATGTAGTGGTGGGGGGGCTCAGATGGTGGTGGGGGGGTCAGTTTTTATTTATATATATATTTATTTATTTATTTATTTATTTATTTATTTATTTATTTATTTATTTATTTATTTATTTATTTATTTATTTATATACAAGAAGGTACATTGGGTTAGAGAGAATACATAGCATAGTATTTACAATCTTGTAAAGCCACTAGTACGCGCAGCGTTTCAGGCAGGTCCTTAATCTAACATAATTTTAAGTAGGTAAATTCTAGCAGAATTAATAAAATGATAACAGATACATTGCAAGAAAAAAATGAGATGAGAGAGAATAGTAAGTATATTAAAGCACATTGGTATATTAAAGCTCTGATTGATTACATTGACAACTTGAATAGTAATTTAAACAAAAGTAACAGACACCATACAGCAGATTGATAGCTGTGGTGATCAGATTAATCAGTTGGTGGTGTGGTGTGTGGGGGGGGGGGTCAGTTGATATGGTGATGGTGGGACCCCCACTTGTTACATTCCTCCAGTTTGAACCCTTGTCTCTTACTGTGACTTTCCTTTCTGTTCTGGTATTTCCTGACCCAGTTCAGAATTGTCCCAGTTATCCCAGCCTAATCCTCCATCTTGTGCAGCAATCTTTCACGAGGAATAGTGTCACATGCTTTTCGACAATCTTGGAAAATACAGTCTTCCCAGCCTTCTTTGTCCCATCTTGTTTTAGTAACTGTCATAAAACTCATGTTTGCCAGGAATGACTTTCTCTGGAAACCCATGCTGACCTGTTAGTCCTCTCCAGATGATCCACCTTTCTCAACCTGATTACTTTCTCCAGCACTTTACAAGGAATACTTGTCAATGGCACCGTCTGTTATTTAATACCTCCTGTTTTCCTATTTTGTTTAGTATTGGGACTATGTTTGCCTTTCTCAAGACTTCTGGAAGATGTCCTGTCTCAAGCATTTTATAAAAAAATTAGATAACGACTGAAGAAGTACTTCTGGAACCGCCTTCAGCTGCCATGGTTAGATTAAGTCTGGTTCCACTGATTTTGCCATATCTAGTTATTCCAGGTGTTTTTCGTTTTTTACCTATCCTTGACTGCACTCAGCTCCCCAAGGCATAACTGTGACGTGCTTGTGTCTGAAGCTAGACACAGATATAATGTATTAATCAATGATGGAGTCAGAGCTTGTCTCCTGTGGATTCCTTCCCATATTGTTCTCCGAATGCATGACAGACCTGATGAGTTGGTCAAGACTTTTGCTCGTAAAGAGGAAATTGATTACCATCTTGGACTGCTTTTGAGCAGCCTGAGGGCAGTAATATTCCGGGAACATCATCAAAATCTCGTAGACTTGAGGCAAAGTGAAATTCACACCAGTTGCTCCATCTATCATCATTCTATTATGCAGGAAGAACCGCACGTCTATGGGTCATCCAATAAGGTTAACAGTCTTCTGGATGTTACCACTGCTAGGCTTAAGCTCGGCTGCAAGTACCTTTGGGAGTAAACAACATCTGCTGATGTAGATTGGACTTAATGTAAACTCTGTCAAAGCCCATCCTCCTGTTGTGGTAGTACTTGTAACAACGATGAGGACCATAGTATATATATACCGACGTATAACAAAATTAGAAACTAGAAATCGGCATTATTGATTTGAACAAACCGGGAAACTATTTTTTACTTGTGTTGCAAAGAAAAACTAAACTAGCCTAACCTAACCTTCCTAGGCCTACTACACGATATCTGAGGCCTAACATAGTACATATGTGTGCTATACTATATAGGCCTAGGAATATTTAAGTTAGCTTCATTTTTTTTAAGAATTCCTTACTAGTCAGTATACTAGTATCTAAAAGCTAAGTATGTACGAATTCGTGACTATTGACGATCGTCACAATAGTTGTTATTTAAACAGGAGGATGGGTTGACTATGGCTTTGCGTCATTACATAATGGAATGTGAAAAATCAGGAATTCAGAGATAATACCATCGACGAAGTCCAAGAAATGTATAAATACTTCGTTCATAATGATGTACTGCCGGGAATCTTAGCGAAGTATCCAAAATTTGCTTACTGTAGGTGCAGCCTACACGTGACTAAAGCTGCCGCCCAGTTGGGTGGGTGTGCAGCAAGACTAGTAACTGTGTGACTCACCATCGATATAAAGTGCCTTGTATAGTGACTGTTTTGAGCCTCTTCTTGCATCACTAGATATAAAAAATAGTATTGATATGTATATGTATTTGTGTACATGGATGTGTATATATATGTACATGTGCATGTAACATTAACAATTGTGTAACTAGCTTCAAAAGATTTTCACTTGCTTAGCTAAACGAACTTTGGGGTTCTGTTCCTGAACCCATTATGTACCTCTGTAACCATTTTTTAATTCCATGATAGCCTCCTCGATCTAGTAAGTCTAGTAAGTCATCCTGGAGCTTTATATGTTTCTATAA